GCTGGAGAGGATGTTCCACACAAAACCAATCAAGCTTTATCCAAACTCTATGCTACAGCATGCACATACAATAGCTAAAACACCTATTATTAGCTGACAATTTTATGTTCCAGGAACATTCTCAACAAAATATAGGTTTAAAGGATTAGAATAGTACTTCTTTTAACTGCATAATCATCTAAAGCTGGTCTTCAGGCACCGGTTTAGTGTGTCATTCTGGCCACAGTTACAGCACATTAGCTTTCAGGTACAGTCGGCATCCCTCACCTTTGCAATTTCCATCCAGACAGAGATGATGCCATACAGCCAGACTCTGTCAGTGCTTGCTGACTAGAGTCACGTAAGATGAACTAATCATCCCAGACACGATCTGATGCTGCTCAGCCTGACTGGGTTCATAACTACAGTGGGCCATGGGGATCTGTGTCAGTTGCTCAGAGGCACAGATACACATCAGAGTACAGAAACATGCCAGCTTTTAAGACATTTGTATTACAATTCCTTTTTTCACACTTAAAAGAAACAAGCTAGTAGTAAGAAGAAGAAAAAAACACCCAGTGGTATAAAGTTGTATTGTTGTAAAGCTGCAAATGCCCCAGTGTGTAAATATACAGTCTGATATGTTGAAAGTTAGGCCTAAGCATATTTTTTTCCTGTCCTTGTCATCAGATTTCTCATATCAACACACAGTCCCAAAGCAAAGCCCAGTGAGAATGCTGTGATGTTTGTAACCAGTAGCAACTGAATTTGAGTCTGTGCCACACTTCAAGCTGTGAGAACATTTTTCTTAACACACGCACATAAATGTTACAGTGACTGATTTAAGCTGATTTATTTTTTAAGGCCTCTTCAGATAAAAGGGAAATGTGGCTCACTGAAAGTGCACTGGTTTAGTAGGGATCAACTGGTGGGTCGTCACTCAGAAATGGACAGCGGGGAAAAACAATGCTAATTGCACATAAAATAATAAGAGTTTTCAAACTTGCTGATGTCAAAACCCCTAAATATGTTGATACCTGGATCCCAGATGATATTCACATTTCGCCAACAACAGAAAAATATCATTTTTATGTGCAATTGATGTAGTTATGGCATCTACCAGCAAAGGGTAACATAAGCCAAACCTGGACCCCTTGTAATTGTGAAGAAGAAATTTTACAATTCTATTTCTTTATCCACCTTATTATTCCTGTAAGAGCGGGTGCGGCCATTTGCAAATTGCATGGGACTGGCTTCCACGTCATTTGCTTCCAGCTATTTTTAGCTTTACAAAACAGCTCGAATTGCTGATTGATATTGCAAACTGGTGTGTCTTACCATATTATTTTAATGTATTAGCCTATCTTAATTATGAACACACTGGATTGTAATGCAAACAGTTTAGCACTTTATGTTTCTTCTCGTTATTTCCCTACTGCAGCTAATGAACCGGAAGTCTTGCATATTCATAGAAAACGGCTTACTTCCGCTTTGAAGAATTAGGTGGTTCTTAATTTGGGGTTGGTAAGACTATTTATTCTTTTATCCTGTGCTCACCAAAGCTGCATTTATTTGATCAAAAACACAGTAAAATAAATAGTAATATTATTACAATTTAAAATAACTGTTTTCCATTTTAATATGTTTTAAAATGTAGTTTATTCCTGTGATGGTGAAGCTGAATTCTCAGCAGGCATTACTCCAGTTTTCAGTGTCACGTGATCTTTCATCATTCTAATAAAATGAATATGTGCTTGAGAAACATTTCTTATCATTATGAATGCTGAAACAGTTGGTTTCATTATTTTATTTGTTGTGGGGAAAAATGTGATGCATTTCTTTCAGGATTCTTTGATGAATGAAAGAGTTGCTTAATAGTTTTGTGTGGAAACCATGATGTATTTTTTTCAGGATTCTTTGATGAATATAAAGTTAATAAGAAGAGCATTTATTTGAAACAGAAATCTTTTGTAACATTGGGCTATAAATGTCTTTTGATTATTTCACTCTTAATTAATTTAAATTCTTTTGAATTTAATGAATCTATGTTGAATAAAAGTATTAATTTCTTCAGAACTCCAATGTTTTGGATGGTAGTGTACTGTATATTATCCTACATTTTATACACATTTTGCACGTTTGCAGTTACTAATTCTTGAAATGAATAGATTCAAACAATTATACTTGCACTAGTACTGATTCGTTCAAACAAATAATGATTAATGTCCCCAATAAGTAAAAAACAACAGCAAAACATTTCAAGACTGGAATGTGACTCACCAGATGATTCAACATTTTTCATGCCCTCTTCCACCGTGGAGGAAGACCACTTTGTGTCCCATAGGAGACAGTTATTAGCTAGTAAAATAAGCCAGCCAATGAATCACGCCAGCAGTTGCTCTCAGTGGACAGATGTTATGCTAGTTTGCTTGTGAGCATGTTTAGCAACAACTATCCAGTGAAATCAATATTTTTAAATTCCCTAATATTTACGAGTTTTGGGATTTGTGTTATTTGTCTGTAGAACACTAAATCACTAAAAGGCTTGCTTTCACATGCTTAATTTAAATGTCATGCTTTACCTGCTAACAATTCAGTTGGGATATGTTACTACAAAATAGGTGCTGCACCTGCTAAATGCAGTTTAATATGCTACTGGTGTTCCTAGTAGTTGGTGATCTAATTTGACACACTTAGATGCACACAAACAGAAAAAAAGAACAAGAGAAGAGTGATAAAAAGAGTTTGTTGTGTGTTCACTGAAGTACTACACAGAGTAGGCCTATAGTGGCTGCCGATGAAAGAGGTGAAAACTAGGAAGAATTCGAATTAACCTTTTAAGACCCGATTGAGCGTCTAAATGTTGCAGTGAAATGCATTTCCTTGTCGGATACAGCATATGTGCTGACTTGAGATATCAGTTTAGACAGTTGCCCCCTCCTTTGCTGACAAATTGATTGAGGCTCGGAGAAAATGTTAAGACCTCCAAGTCTCTCACCTTGATGCTGAGTGGACTCTTTAACTTATTACAGATACAAATTATTTGATTATCTTAATATAAAAAGAAAAGATGGAAAACTTTGCAAGTAGAGAACCTAATTTAATGTGGCACAACCTTTTTGGATGATGTTTTGATATCTAGGACACACTTGCAGAGTTGTGATGTTCATATCATAAAAAAGATTAACTGATATGACATTACATGTCACATTACACTGTTAAGTTGGTATGTATGTATGTATGCTTTTAGCTTTCTTTAAGGTTTAGGAGGGCTGCATGTAGAAACAGTAGATACTGGGAACACTCTAATTGTAAGTAATGCTCACCTCAGCTAAATACTTAATACAATGGCTAATGTACACTAATAAGATCACCAATTATTAGCCATTCATAGGAGAGGAAAGACGTTTTGATGACTCAGATAATGGTTATTTAGAGACTATAATCGAATGAGACTTTTGGCTAGAAAGTAGTTGACTTCTCTAGAGAGGGATGAGAGAGAAGGTCTTGAATTCATAATGATCTCCAATGACCAAACTATATATTACAGAACTACAGAACCTAATATAAAATATAATATAATAAATATAATATAATAGTAAAGCATTTATATTTATTTAATTTATATACAACATTAAACTTTCAGCAATTAATCAAACATTAGCTTCTGCTTTCGGTTAAATCTCTTGAAACATTATCTTAAAATTAAATTAAATTAAATTAAATTAAAATGATCTTAAATTAAAAATGTGTCAGACCACACAGTGAGCACTTTCATTTTTTATTAATTAATAAAAAAAAATGTTTAAAAAAAAAGCTGTACTTTGAGATGTTTTTATTGTACATTTTTGGTTATACATCCTTCCATTCCTCTATAACATTAAAGTGATAGTCCACCCAAAAATGAACATTCTGTCATCATTTACTCACTCTCATGTTGTTCCAAACCTGTATGAATTTCTTTCTTGCACTAAACACAGAATAAGTTATTTTGAAAAATGCATGTAACCAAACAGTTACTGGTCCCCAAACATTCTGTCATCATTTACTCACTCTCATGTTGTTGCAAATCTGTATGACTTTCTGTCATCTGTTGAACACAAAAGATGTTTAGAAAAATTTTGGTAACCAAACAGTTGCTGGTAACCATTGGCTTCCATTGTATGGGGAAAAAAATACTATGAAAGTCAATGGCTACCAGTAACTGTTTAGAAACCAGCATTCCTCAAAATATCATCTTTTGAGTTCAGCACACAAAGAAACTCATGCAGGTTTGCAACAACATGAGGGTAAATAGACTATGACAGAATTTTCATTTTAGTGTGAACAATCCCTTTAACTCCTAATTTTATTGGACCAAAACAGAGTACATGATATAGTGAGAATTCTGTGAATTTATGTAAGAAAGAAATTTCTTTTGGGGGAAGTAATGTAATAAATCTTGACCTGAATGGCCGATACATTATGTATAATATGTTCCAATAAACCGCCAGTGGATTATGGTCACAGTTATGGATTTTTCTTGTGAAAAAGGCACATTTGCAAAACAAGCTGTGTGAATCCTATTTCTGTATAATATGACATTATCTAAGATTGATTAGTTATGAACTAATCTCTTTTGCTTACTATGCAGAGATTCTGCAGGACAGGAGCAGTCACATTCATAGTGATGAATGGTGGCCATTTGACCCATTTTAACATATCTCTAGATATACCACTGAAATTCTAAACACCCCGGCTGTGTCTTAAAATCAAATGACCTGCCTTGCAAAATGGAAAGAAAAAAAAAAACACCGTCTAGGCAGCTCATGGGATTTTGAGACCTGCAGCCTCTGTGCAAACCTAACCTTACCTTATCTGTATTAGTGAGTGTTCTCTAAAATATATTTGTACTTGTGCATTTTTTGTTTATTTGTGATAACAAAGAATGGTCATTTTGAATTCTCACAGATAATAACTAGACTTATTTATCTGCATAAGTGTACATAATGTATATGGCATCAGGAAAATATAACAAACTTTCATCCCAAATTTTGTGTCTGCTCCTTCAATCGCCATGCAGCGTCCATGTACTTAGTGATTTCAGAGTTCTGCCGTGGAAAATTTAATCTTCTGTCACTACGATCTGAGGCAATCTGAAATGTTTCACAAAAGACATGATTAGGATGATTACAGAAGACATCCTACATCTTTTTTTTTTTTTTTACTTCACTGGTGATGGTCAAGTATATGCATAGTAATCTGGGATACTATAATATGTAAATTGGGAGTGAATCCACTATGGAGTGTGCAAATGTAAAAGTTTGTTTTTGGTTAGATATAGCAGCAAAATAAACATTTTAAATGTATCTTTTATTTTTACATGCATGGTTTAATAAATAAATAGTTAACACTTTACAATAAAGTCCTCAAAGGCAATGTGAGTTAATGCATTAACTACAGAACAGAACAGATACAGATACTTTGATTTATTTAAATAATGTAATGCTAAGTAAATTAACATTAACTAAGATGAATAAAAACTAAAAAAATGTTTTATGTAATAGAAAATGTAAAATGTTTTAGAAATATTTTTCATTGTTAGTTAATGTTAACTAAGGTAGTAAACTAAATCGAACCCTTATTGTAAAGTGGTAATAAATAAATAAATTGAATAAATACACGCATATTTAAATCTAAATGGCATCTAAAATGTTCACATAAAATCTAAATATCTTGAACTAAAAACATTTAGAGAACATTAGTGACTCCCATATTGTAATCCTTTTCTTTCATTCAGTCACTCATTCATAAATAAATAAATACATACATGATACATACATAAATGAGAACTTACTAAAGGACTTGATATCCATCCTATCTCTTGTGCTTCAGTCTGGGGGTGAGAGTACTTTTTTGTGGGCTCCAGATGGGCCCTGCGTATAGCCTGGACGAAAACAGCTGTACAAAAACATTTTTTTCATTACATTTTACATAGTACAATATACTAAATTTACATAACCATTAAACCCAGACAACCAAATACAGTAATTACAGTTAATGGTAATAATAATTACTTCATCACCACACTCTAAAAAATGCTAACTTACGTTTGATTTAACACAATTCTGCCATAGTTTCCACCAAAATGCCATACTTACAGCATTTGTTAAATCCACAAAATATATTAAATCTATATGTTAAATGTTTTCATTTTTAATTGGTTCTTTTGATGTTAGTGCACTCTAAAAAATGCTGGGTTAAATACAACCCAGTGCTGGGTTAAATAGGGACAAACCCAGCAATTGGGCTGTTTTGACCCAGCGGTTGGGTTAAATGTTTAACCCAACCTTCTGGGTAGTAACCCAACCGCTGGGTCAAAACAGCCCAATTGCTGGGTTTGTCCCTATTTAACCCAGCACTGGGTTGTATTTAACCCAGCATTTTTTAGAGTGCACTAACATCAAAAGAACCAATTAAAAACGAAAACATTTAACATATAGATTTAATATATTTTGTGGATTTAACAAATGCTGTAAGTATGGCATTTTGGCGGAAACTATGGCAGAATTGTGTTGAATCAAACGTAAGTTAGTGGAAATACTTACGGTCCTCCTCTTCTTTTCTGTAGGTGATGTTGGACACGGGCTTGTCAGTCAGAATGTGCACTGAAAAAACAAAGAGGCTCTTCTACATATTTAACCAAACACAGAGACGTACATACTGTAAACAAGTGAAGCTCTGCACTCACGTTTCTTGAAGGGGTTGATATTAAACTCAGTGTAAAGCTTCTGGTGTCTCAGCTCCTTCATTATTGTCTCGACATGAATAGCATTCTGGTGAACTATGTCCACAGGGTCTTTTTCTTTAGGGTTTGCCATATTTAGTGTTATCAAATATTTTTTAGTTGCTAATGTTTGCTAGTATGATCACCGAATCACCTCCAGCAGCAATAGTCAACACTTCGGATTTCTCTACGAATCTTGTTGCTTGGCAACCGTAAACAGAGCGCTAAAACGGTTTTATCCACACGAGGGCGCCAAAGCCCAGTAATTCGTTTGCATCCGAAATTCGTTTGGTATTTTCTCTTCTTAACACATGCCGATAGTAGCCTCTGTGAGGCCGTGAATATTTGTTGTAGTTTAAGAACCATGAATATCCTAAATTAGGCTAGGCTACTTAGCCTATATTTTGTCAAAAACAAATAAATAAACAAACAAACACAGTAAGTGTTGTGTTAAATTATTTTCTGTGGTTTAAGAACCACCAAAATTACCCATAGCAAGCTAGCAAACAAACAAACAGTAGTAATTAAGTAACTAAGTAAGTAAATAAATACATTTATGTGTGAAAGTGTGTGAAATTAAATATTTTTTTGTGGTTTAAGAACCAGGAACATCCAAAATGATTAATGTTTTGTAGAATATTTAATAGCTTTATTTAATCAGGAAAAGACTCGCTGAGATTAAAATCTCTTTTCCAGGAGTGTCCTGGCCAAGATAGGCAGCCGAGTTTGCATAAACAACATATTTATTACATATTGACATACATCACAAAACCAACATATAACCGGTTAAAAACAATTACACACAGTTAAGTTGCTCTCTAGATTACATAACAAGGACTTAAAATAATTATAAGACACCAAGTTTTGTTACTTCATCTCCTTTTGGAGAAGATCTCAATCTGAGGCGGCAGCATATTTAAAAGAGGTTTTACCAAGCTCAGTTCTGACAAAGGGCACACAGAGATTGTAATTTGATTGAGAACGTAATGAATGATTTCCAAACAAAGTCCTTTGTATAATACAAAATATATAATTTGGCATATGACCCAAAATTTCCTTATATATCAACAAATGCCAATGCATTTTTCTCCGAATTCTCAAGGAAGGCCATGCAACTCTTTCATATAATTCACAATGATGAGTTAAAAATTTACAATCAGTTATAAAACTCTGAACATATTTATATATAAAAATATATATTTTTATATATATATTATGCATAAAAATATATTTATGATAGTCTATATGCAATAGAATATTTGAGGTCAAAATGCTCAAAAGTAACTGGATAAGTCTTTCTTATGGAGGCTAATTTAGTCTTAAATTTAGCTTGTAATGCATTATATTTATTTATTTATATATTATATATATAATGTCTGTGTTTGTTGTCAGATCTCAGTTGTTAAACAGTTTTGTGTTTTAATAGTTTTAAAATGATTATTAATGTTATTTTCCCATGTTAGCTCTGCCCCCTGTACCTATTAAGCTGCATAAAACTGTGCAATTATTAGCATTTTGCTCTTTGATATTACATCTCTTGGAGGATTAAAATTCATTAGTACAGTCAAAACATCAGTACAAATTTTGTACAGCACACAACAACTACATGTAGTGTATCATTTTTATTTATTCATATTTATCTTGTTAGCAATTCTTTGTTTTACACCAAAGTTTTGCATTATTTTAAAACTGCCCACTGGACTGTTCCTATACATCAGTAAAAAGAACGTGAGAAAGTTTCCAGCACATCTAACCATGAGTCCATGCTATGTCTGTGACTAGCAGTCATCCATAACCACAATCTGTTCCGAAACACAAACACACACTCGCTCAAGGTCTATTGTCTACACGCACGCCATGATAATTCTCTATCTCATACACAAAGGGACAATGTGAATGCGAATGCGTGCGTTTGTTTAGGTGTGAGTAAGTGTATGTTGAGGTTCAGATAAATGCGCCTACCATCATTCTTTGTCGCCCACCTTCAGCAGAAATGATGCTTTATTTTCTCAGTCGCACAGGCAGAGAGGGAGCGCTGCAAAATCTCTATCTAGTAGATAAACCCCAGGAGTCATACACCACTGATGGCACTGATTGTACTGAATATACTCGCCATCACTGAGGCCCAATGGAGACGCCACTTGGTCATGGGAAGCTCTCTTGAAAAATCAGATTGGCACTGCTTTTTAAGAGTTCCCTCAGCCTCAGCATGTCCTCGGTTAATAGGACGGTGTAAAGGATTCAGGGTACCAAAATGAGACAGTGTACCCAACCCTGAGAGTCCCAGTCTGTTCTAAATCTCCATGTTTAGTCTTTGTAATGAAATTGGGTGTTCCTGCAGGGGTAGACTGGTTGATATAAGGTCATAATACAGGCTGTAAGCATTGGCGGTATTGAATTCACCTTGAGTTTGTTCCCAAATGGTCTCATCACATCTAATCACTCAGGATTTATTTCGAGTTATTTCCACAAACCCATCACTTCCTAATACTGTCTCAATGCATGTAAAGTGAGCTTAATAAAATGTTTAGGAAGTAACACATTAAATAAATTGGAATAATAGCTTGAAATTGTAAATAGCTTGAAAATCACTTAAATAGATTGAGTCAAATTGTTCTTAAAAGTGCTAAGAGCAGCAACAATTGAGGAGTTGACTGTCCTGAAAATGACCTGCCTGAAGAGAAATACTGATTGTCTCATTTCTGGCTGTTAGCGTGGAACAATTGTAAGGAATATGACAGGCAGGCCAAAGTCTTTGCTAGGACTTCATATCCTTTTTCACAGATGTTTTTAATAGATTTTTAATCCTCAAACTGACACTTTGTATTAAGCTACAAAGCTTTAATCATAATTATGCTTGTGTGTGTATATGTTTGTGTATATGTTGTGTATCTATCTATCTATCTATCTACAAGACATAAAAATACTAATATATCGGTTATTCTATTTCAACATTTCAGGTATGTTCCTTGCAATTATTTGTGAAATTTACTATAGCAATTTCTTGTTGAAAACTGTTAAGAACTAATTCAGTGTATCTTATGTATTTCCCAGACATTCAAATATTATTGGATTATTTTTTTTTTTTTTACAAGAAAATAGACTACTATTTCAGCTTTTCTTAAATATTCATGTTTAATTCAATGTTACTTGCTGTTTCTTTGTAATTGTTTGTGAAATTTACAAGCAATTTACTAGAAATTTACCTAGATAGTATCTATGTCTGTGCATATAAAAAATATACTTTTAAAGTAAATATAATATAATATAATATAATATAATATAATATAATTAGTATAAATACAGTATATAGCAAATTTTACATGCATCTAATCACTGAGACCCCAGATGCAGGGAGATGCAGGCAAATGCTTCATTCATTCATTCATTCAATCATTCATTCTTTATTGTCTCCATTAGGTGAAATTTGTCTTGAGCAATCAAGAGAGCAGGTCAACTGTACAATTTTTTTTTTTTACAACAACAACAAATCAACAATTTCACAATTTCATTAATATTTAACTTACATACACTAAATACATTCAACCTTTGCAAAACTTGTAAACATGTCGTATGCAACTTTTATTTACTTTTATTTTGTTACTTTTTCTAATAAAAATCTATAAAATATTTTTATTGTCACATAGCTTGCTTTGCCAACACCATGCCTCATATCAAAGTTTACTTAATAGATTTTCTAAAGGCATTCAGTTATGTTGAGTCAGGTCTGTTGTTTAATGAGTACTAAAAAAATTCATCTTTACAAGAACTTCAACAAGAACATCTTCATGTTAGATTCTTCTAAAATTAAAATGAACTAACACACTTCATGCAAATTTCAGTTTGTTTTGTAACGTGATCGCCTGCAGTTATTAGTTTGACATTTGTTAAATTAACTGCATTAACTTACACTGGCACTTAATGTGTTCTGTTATCTGATTGGCAAAAATACTGTCTGGTCTTCACAAGCTTATCAAGTGACTTCTCTTCTGTCATCACACACAGACAGCTAAACATAGAAACACACACACCTCTCTTTGTTGTCACTGCTAATAGCAATTTCAGCGAGTATGTCACATAAAACATGTGTTCCTGCTTTTCCTCTATCCCCTTGGCCTTATATAACAAGTGTTATTACTGTAACTGTCACTTTGTTCATTCCTAAGAGGATGTCCAGAGGAATAAAGAGAGCGTAAGACAAATACAGAAACAGCTTGCTGCTTGCCTCACATTCTTTTCTCGAGTGGCTTTTGTTTGGGAAAAGGATCTATCACATGGGGATCCACAATGGAATTCGTCATGAGTGGGATCTGAGCAGTCCTGACAGGTGAGAGAGAAGAAAGAACTGCAGACTGAGTTACTTTGATTACTTAAAGAGCATTTGATCAGCTATAGCAGGCTCTCTGTGGCCGCTGTGCTCTGTCTTCTGCCTGAGAGCGTTTCCAAAGTTCACTCATTAAGACTCCTTATCAGACAGCAGTGTCTTAATGGGATTTTGATGGTGGTAAATGTCAGTGGACACAATATATGGCAAACTAAGCATGATCATAGTGCCTGTAGTTTTATTAGTAATTTTATAGGCCGCTCTGACATCAATTTTCAGTCATTCATATACTGTAAAAAAAAAAAAACAAAGATTATCAGAGTACCTACTGTTATGAATACCATATTTAGACACGGGGTTGGTGTCTGAGGCAAATTCTTTGCTCAGAGCAAAAGTCACAACAGGTCCATAAAGTTTCAAGATGTTTTCAGATATTAGTACTGACAAAAAATGTATCCAAAAATAGTATGTTCTATTGCTGAAATGAATGAAACAAACAAAAAAAGATTTTTCAAAGTAGTAAATGAAAAAGATGATTGAGGTACACTTTACAAGAAAATACCATTATTTATGTTACAATATTTATTCATTTTAAAATGTCATGTTTAATATAATGTTACTTGCTGTTTTCTTTAAGTTATTTGTGAAATTTGCAAGTAATTTCTGAGTGAAAATTCCTAGACAATTTTTTCAGTGTATCATTCATTCATTCATTCATTCATTCATTCATTTATTCATTAATTCATTCAGTATGCTTAACAAGAAAACACTTTCATCTATCTATCTATCTATATATCTATCTATCTATCTATCTACACTGTA